GTCTTTAGTGTTTAATGTATCAAATCTGTTCTTCAGATGATCTCTAAATTCAGGTGGGATATACTCAAGGTCCTATTTTGGCTCTCGTGGACTTGTTTCATTTTCTTCAGCTTCAGTTTGAATTTGCATATGAGTAATTGATGGTCTGTCCACAGTCTGCTCTTGGTCTTGTTTTCATTGATGATATAGAGCTTTTCCATTGTCTCTTTCCATAGATGTAGACAATTTGATTTCTATGTATTCCATCTGGTGAGGTCCATGTGTAAAGTCATCTCTTATACTGTCTATAGAAGGTATTTGAAATGAACAAATCACTGGTTTTACAGAATTCTATCATGCGTTCTCCAGCATCATTTCTATCACCAAGGCCATATTTTCCAACTACTGAGCCTTCCTCTTTGCTCCCAACCTTTGCATTCTAATCACCAGTGATGATCAATACACCCTGATTGCATGTTTGATCAATTTCAGATTGAAGAAGTTGGTAGAATTCTTCTATTTCACCCTCACTGGCTTTAGTGGTTGATGCGTAAATTTGAATAATAGTGGTATTAACTGGGCTTCCCTGTAGGCACATGGATATTATCTTACCACAGACAGTGTTGTACCTCATGACAGATCTGGATATGTTCTTTTTGACAATGAATGCAACACAATTCCTCTTTCATTTGTCATTCCCAGCATAGTAAACCATGTGGTTGTCAGATGCAAAATGGCCAATACCAGTTCACTTCAGCTCACTAATGCCTAAGGTATTGAAGTTTATGCATCCCATTTTAGTTTTTACAACTTCCAATTTTCCTGTATTCATACTTCGTACATTCCATGGTCTGATTTTTAATGGATGCTTACAGCTGTTTCTCTTCATTTTGAGTTGTGCCTCATCAGCAAATGAAAGTCCCGTGTGCTTTTCTCCCATGGGTTTTACTCCATTCGCATCATCACGGTCAACTCTACTTTGAGGAGGCAGCTCTTCTCCAGTCACATTTTGAATGCCTTCCAACCTGAGGGGCTCATTTTCTGGCGCTATATCTGACAGTGTTTCTCTGGTATTCATAAGGTTTTCAGTGACTAAATATTCAGAAGTAGTTTGTCACTCTTTCTTCCTAGTCGGTCTTTGTCTGAAAGCTTATCTGAAACCTGTCCACCATGGGTGACCCTGCTCGTATTCAAAATACTAGTGGCACAGCTTTCAGAATCACAGCAACTCACAAGCCACCATAGTACGACAAACTGACAGATAAGATAGATAGATAGATAGATAGATAGATAGATAGATAGATATAGATATAGATATAGATATATAGTTGTTGTTAAGTGCTGTCAAGTTGGTTCCAAGTCATAGTGACCCTGTTAGGGTTTCCAATGAACGGCTGGGGAGTTTGAACTGCTGACTCGCTATATATATATATCACACATATGTATATACACACAGTTATCAATTACACACACACAGTATGTGTCCTGGTGTAGTATTGTAGGATAATCACTAGACAGCTAACCACAAGGTCGAAGGATGAAACCGAATAGCTGCTCCTTTTTTTTAGTAAAGTGACTCTGTATTCCTTCCATCTTCTTCTTTGTTTTTTTAATTTATTTTTTAAATTTATTAAATGTTTTTATTTTGGATTGAGTGAAAGTTTACAGGGCACATCATCAGCTTCACATTCAACCATTCATATAGCTT